TTACACCCGATTCTACATCCTTTTAGGATGAGCAACTTTTATTCCACAAATTATTATTATTGTTTAAAGGAGCTTGAGATGCGCTTCCTCTTCACGGAGCAGTAATGCCTGTTCAACTTTTTAAAGTTTTTAGTATGATTTATCATGAATGAGACCTTGATAGGGTTGTTGCGGATGGAAGCTGCTATGTTGATTTGAGCAATCGACTGACAATAACGTCCATGGAAGCCCAAAGTTATGGCTTATGCAACCTCGATAATCTCGTCACTTCATTCACTTGGGCAGATCTCGGCCCAGTTCTACATTTAATTTGCTTATTTAATTTTTTTAATCATCTTGTTTGAAGTCGTCATCTTAGAGTCAAAGCTGATATAGAAACAGCTTCTTCCACTTTATTGGTCACTAGCTATTCAGTCCCGTGCGCATTCTTGCCTCGGTACATGTTTGATAGCAAATACAGGGGCATTTGTGAGGATCAAAAGGTCGAGCTCCTCCTTTGCTTACTCAAGAGTGACTGTTGTCAAAAGGTGGTTTTGGTGCCTTCCTTATATTAATCACAGCTAAGGAAAATTCCACGCGATTGCTTGAAGGAAGAGAATTTTCCAAGAGAGTGCACGATTGCTAGGCACAATTTTGATCGCTGTCGAGCCGAAATTGTAAGTACTCCTTGCACTCTATTTCCCTAGCTTGACAAACGGACTCGCCTTCGCGGAAAGCGCTTTGAGAGTGATTAACAAGTATGGCCGTTTTTATAACCGTGGGCACCACCTCTTTTGATAAACTGATTCAAGAAATAAATGCGAGGCGGTTTCATCTAGCACTTTTAAACTTGGGATACCGAAAAGTCTTTATACAATATGGGAGTGGTACCGTCGAGCCATCATTGTCAGAGAGCTTATTGGAAGTTGTCGCCTTTCGTTATCGGGTGGAATTGAATTCCATTTTTTCCGAATCGTCTTTGGTAATTAGTCATGGTGGAGCGGGTACCTGTATGGAAGCACTTTCACCTCCTGGTGGGCGCAAACTTATTGTCGTTATAAATGAAGACTTGATGAATAACCACCAAGAGGAGCTTGCTTCCACTTTGTATGAGGGCAAACACGCATTTGTTTCGCGAGTGAAAGACCTCTACGAATTTATCTCCACTGGGAAACAAAATCTGTTCTTGGAATGTCAAGTAGGTTTTGCGGGCACTTTTTGATTATGCACTAGCGTGTTGCCTCGTGACATCTCTCGTGGCTATTTACTGACATCTGGATTTTTTAGCAACACTTATTATGCGGATGGAAATACGTATGGGAGGAATGCCCATACTCCACAAAATTTGAAAGTGTGCACCGACCTGCTACATTGAGCACATTGCCTTCGTAATGCCCTCTTCATTTTAGCAGGCTACATTCTGGCGGGAATGCGAACCAAAAGTCCTATTCGGTCCCTCAACCACACCCGAAAGCGTTGGCCTCATCCCCTTCTACAGAGGCAATGCTTCGCTTTTAATTGACTTCCTGAACAACTTACTCGACGTGCCACATACTAGATGAGATCCCTCACAGGTCTCATCTGTAGACCCATTGGCTTGGATGCTCTCCTTAATCCAAGTGCTCCTGTCTCGTAGCTGTATGTTGACTTGTGAGAGTATTTCATCTTTGTATCAAAATACAACAGCTCTGTTTAATACTTCTCTACGTCCCAATAAATCATGTCATTAATTACTACTTTCGTCAAAGCGGAAATTGGTTTTAGCGGCGATTTACCAGGAAAGCGCATAGTTGCGACCCTCCTTTGAGTTGGCATCACACGCCGTCGGTTTCCCATAATCCGGATTAACAGAATTACCTCCCTCCAATGCGTTTTATACCGTATAAAAGCGAGATAAGGCGCATTCGTAATTGTTTGTAAAAAAAGTGGGCCGGAAAGCGTTTTATACAAGCAGTGATCGAATAGCGGTGAAAAAGCTAGTGCTGACTGCTCACTGGAGAGGCCTACTCCGTGAGCCCACAGGCCATACTGGCGGCCTCTTCCATGTCTTTAGCGATGTGGATATCGAGCCCGGGGGCGCGCAGCACATCGCGCCCCTCCGTTGAGTTTGTGCCCTCCAGGCGTACCACGAGGGGCACCCGCGGCTTTTGCCGGCGGCAAGCCGCCACTATACCCTCCGCCACCATCCGGCAGTTCACGATGCCTCCGAAGATGTTAATCAAAATGCACTTCACTCGGTCGTCAGCTTTAAGGCCAGATAAAAAAAAATAGACATAAGCATTAGCAATTATCGGGCGACAAATTCACAGCATGGATTGTACACAACTACATCCACGATGAGATCCGAAATAGCTGCTTACACGTATCCGAAGTGGCTCTGTTTTTGTGAGACACGAGCATTTTTGTACCTTACACTTGACAGAGCATGGGGACCAAGGGTCTCACACTATCAGAAGACGCCAATGATTGGATTTAATTCAGACAAATATACCGTAGTAGGTTAAACTCGATCCATTAACACATCAGTTATAAAGTTACAAATTTCCTCATGAACTGTTTGAGAAACATCTGCGGCATAAAGTTGAGCATCCTTACTAATTGAAAAATACAGCTATTCAGGATCACTACCAGCAACCAACGTCTTGATGTACATCATGCAAACCGTCATCCTTGTAGGCAATATTTTTATTATTTATACAAAATCCGGTAATGGTTATGCGTATCTCACATAAATAAGATTTAAGACCCTCCATTCTACGAAAGTAGCTGCACTTTAGACTTACCGGAAAATATGAATGGAGATGATTTGGAGGCAGTAGTAGCGGTGAATTGGTGCAGCCTAAAACATTTTTGCTGCCATAGCACAGCTCTTCATCTTTCAATGTGAGAGAAAGCCAAAGCAGATGAGAACGTTTACCATTCACGAACGTTGACCAACAAGTTAAAAACAAGTGATTGAATAAATGGGAGATCCTCTTGCAGGACAATCACATCAAAATGTGCACCGAAACGTTTGCAACTACGACATTTAGACGAACCTGAAAAGTTCGCCTGTTACCCACCATATTTACCAGATGTTTAATGACTAACCACTGCCGTTAAAAATTAGAGACAACGCCAGATTATCCATGAACAAACTGTTTTCACGATTTATTCGCCTTTCAAATCCCTGTCGTCCAAATTGCTTCACACATACTTGAATTAATTGCAGTACCTCTTGTCTGATACACAATTATAAGGCCAAATTTATTAGGAATGGAAAACGCCACAGAGAAAGACTTAACTAGAAATAATTTGGTGGGGAATTAGAATAAATTCAAAATTTCATTATCTATTTTTTGACACTAACTCTATCAAATACGTAGGCGCCACGAAAATCGAAATAAACGAAGGCAGGGGGAGAGTAGACATACAGGCAAGTGTCTGCAGAGCAAACTCCACGTCAGCCTGTGAAGCTTTGCCACCGAGATCGAGAAAGTTAGCGGCCCTGCCACGGTGTAGAGAGAGGAGATCAAGAGTGGCCATAGCGAGTCCAGCGCCGTTCACCATGCATCCGATGGTGCCGTCGGGTAGGCCGATGTAGTTGAGGCCATGAGCCTCCGCACTGGTCTCCAGCGCCAGTAACGAGTGCTCTCCCGCCGCCTCCAAGTCCAGTTTGCGCGATTGCGCCGCTAGTGCCGCCACTCGCGGCTGACGATACACCGCATTGTTATCAAACGAAAATTTCGCATCCATGTTAACCAGGGAACCATCCTCTTTCTCTCCAAGTGGATTGATCTCAACCTGCTCACATCGTACAAAGGGGCAAGCAAAGCACATGGGTATCATAATGAGCTCAATTCCATGCACAGTTTTATGGTTGTGAAAATATGACACCCAGCATCCAAGCCCAAACATAATCACTAGGTCGTACTACCAGTTAATTAATTAACATACCTGAAGACAATCGAGATCCACGAATAAATTATACAGATTCTTCAGCTGAGAGCACATGAACTTGTGCTGTGTGAAGCCAGGAGGAAAACCAAGGGAACATGAAATGGCCCCGGCTTTTTTATCTATAACAATAGCATAAAGTGTCAGTAATCAATGAAGGCTATACCAGTCATTCCTTCTTGCAAATCAATAAATTCCCTATTTATTGTATCAGGATTAGTGCGCGCAACATCTTCAATATTAACACCACCCTCAACAGAAGTAACGACAACAGGACAACAAGCTTCACGATCTAAAAGAATCGCTAGATATCGTTCTTTCTTCAAGTTGACAGCATCAGCGATCATGACCTGCTTAAAATCAGACGCATGAAGATATTGGAAAAGAGGAGGAAGAATGGGATAAAAACATACGGTATTCACAACTACGCCATCAGCGGTTGTTTGCTTCGTTACCAAACGATTTCCTATCATTTTAGAAACAATGATTGGGACTTCTTGCGGATCATTGGTAAATTGGATACCACTGCCGCCGCCAGTAGCGAAATGTCCCAACTTCCTACCTCCAGCTTGAACTTGAGCCTTGAGAACATACAAGTTCGGCTACATTTACAATAAAGTTACGTAAACATCAACATACTTTAAACGACGCAACTATGCGCTCCGCTTCTTCAACAGACGATGCTATGCGAAAATCCTGCACAGCAAGATCGTACTCATTCATCAGAATTTTGCTTTGGTATTCGGGCAAGTTAAAGCTACGACGAAACTGTAGCAGTTTTGGGGAGTTCGAAAGCAATTTCCTAGTAGCACCAAAAGACATCATAAAACAGAACCCGTGCAATATGCTTTAGGGCTAGTTGCGGAAGACAAGCATGTAAGCCAAATGACAATACACGTGGTTGAATTATCAAATAAAATTCACAATAGTTTTAACCGAAAGCAATTTCTTGCATAAGCTTAGGCAGTTTTCCATACCAAATGGCCAGTTGCTAGTTGGTAAACGTGTGTTAAGTTCAGGACAAAGTAACATTTCCCATATGAGTGAGGCATGGATCAAAATAAGCACCAAATGTATATAATCAGCCAGAGTAAAGAAAAAAACCTAGAGATAGTTTTTAAAAATGTGAATTATTTCTTTGTTTAGGCTAGAATTGGATTAGTTACAAGTGCCGCCATAGAGACTAGCTAAGTTTACATGTAACCGTTTGTTAGTCCAATTTATGCCTAATGTGCACGCAAAATTGCAACTTAGTTTAAGGTGGCATGCAGTTTTTTCAGAGGCCTTTACTGAAAGGAAGTCGACATTTTGTCTATTAAATACTGCGTTTAACCCACTTCGTTCTTTTTTCTAAGCTTTTTTAGAGCCTAAAAACTAAGGCACAAATGTTTTGCAAAAGAGTTTTTGCAGATTAGGTGTTTTATGCAGTTTTTTCTTGTGCGTTTATGTGGACCAGCTGGCATGTTATTCAGTGATCCGCATTATACGAAAATTTTTTAAGTCATTATCGTGGGCGATGGGCCGGGCTAACAATCCGTGCAAATTAACACATTCTGACAAGCCATATATGAAGAAGCCTTGCATTTGTGAAGTTTGCACTTGCGGGTAAGGTCAATTTTCCTAATCAGATAACTAATACTGGAGAGGTTCCTTCTAGTCCAGGCGTTATTATTAACTCCTAATGCCGTTTTTGCCTTTTTAATTCATTTGATCGTAGATGGCTGGCTATCACTTGTACTTGCTCTTTATGTCTTATATTTGCTACTTACATTTTTTGGGCAGTTTTACGAAATGTATACTTCTGAATTTTTCAAACAACCACTTTTGTAGAAATACTTTTGAAAGCTCCTTAAGTCATTGAACTGAATGTCCTTTTTTGTTCTTTGCTTAAAACTTTGCTTGTTATTTTTTTTGCAGTGCTGTTTTTTGGTTTAATGCTCTACGCAATAAATCACAATAGTGCGCATCATAGTGGCCATTTTTGTATGGAAATGAATCCCTTTTTGTGATATATCTGTGCATCTCTATTTATTGATAAGGTTTTGTTTCTTTTTAAATATAACGTTGCTTATTTTTTTGGTTACATCTAATAATCCATCTTCGGACAGTCGTATTTTTATTTTCTGGCCCAATTTTACCCCTGTTACATTTCTAATTGGTCAGCAACAAATAATATTTTAGTGTAGCTGGTGAAATCCAATTAAGACATTGCAGTTGTTTATTCGGTTAGGACCAATTTTGGGGTTGTCTGCTATTATGGTCCTTTATTAATATGCACGTCAGAGTTCAGCCACCACATAATAAAAATATTTGCCATAGTTGATAATTATTTAGTTAAAGTAGAGTGATGCTTTTAGTAATGTGTAAATTTAGTCTCTGAAGATAGTTTCTGGTTTTTTGATGTAACGATCTTTAATTAAATTTTTCAATGCTTTACTGAAGTTCATCTTTAGCTAAAGTGGTTTTCATCTTCTTCTTCTATTATGTAATAAATCAATAGCTTTTTCCGTCGGATGTTTTGGAACATTTTCCTTGGAAATGCATATCTTTGTTTGCGTTCCTTGAGGGTAGAGATCCCCTATTTCTTCCCATATAGGCACAAAGTTCCAAAGTTTTGGTGCAAATGTGCAAAAAGATTTGTTGTCATCAACCTTTCAGCGTTCGTTGGGTTAAATATATAAAATATTTTTGCTCTTTTAATGTTTTATTGGAAATGCAAGTAATGGCTTTCAGTGGTTTTACTTGAGTTTTATTTGTTATTATAATATGATACAATGAAAGTGACTTTATTTCTTAGGTGATAAGTGCCTCGTAATTGACAAATAATTGCCAGCTAAAAGTGGATTTGGTATTATATAATTCTTAAGAGATTCCATGCATTTTTGCGTCCTTTTACTACTTGTTGTAGACTTTATCTTATAGAGCTTATCACCTTAATAGTACACACTGATTTAATCCAGTTCCCCATGTCAAAGTGATTAAATTAATGCATATGGTTCTAAATCAAGCCACATGCTTATGTTTCGTTACCGATTCATATGTATTAGTATTTGGGGGAAGTATTAACTTGCCATTTACAAAATGCGACCTCTTCTTAGCTCTTAGAAATTCTGCTACTACGCAGGGAAGATCCATCTCTGTGGTGTTGTCAGCCAAATTGGTTAATGCACTTTTCATTCGAAAAAATGTTTATTTGCAAATGCAAACACATTCCAGCAACTTCTTATTTAGATGCGCAGAGGGTCAAATTTACACGAAATAGTTTTTTTAAGGTTTGAGTACCGCTCATTTTCTATTTACCAACTCTTGCGTCGTAAATTTTCATCACTTTTCAGCCTTCACACTACGTAGCCTACTAAAATAGAAAAACAGACTATAATTTGAGTTTTGCCAAATGATGATGTTGACTAATTGGTGCGTGAATTAAAATTTGCCTTTTATGCTATGAGGCGTCACCAGTGCCCTCACCAGGTGAAACAACGGGTGACCTGGGGGCCATGTGTAATGTCGGAGTATAGTGCGAACTACCGGCCGCATTGCTTTGATCTGCGGAAGGCGTTCGTACCCGAGACAGGGTTCCCTTGTTTCGACGAGCCCTTGTCAGACCAGACCACCCACCGCACTGACTATAAGCCACAACCATTATGCCTGCCGTGGCGCCACGAGAAAGAGGGCTACAAGCCGACCTTAGCACCTCTCGACAGCACAACTAACTACCGCCTCGACTACACCCCCAAAAAAGCCTGTCCCACTGAACCCTGTCTTCCCCTCCCCGTGTGCTCGTGCCCCGGAAATTTCGATGGCAGTCCTACGTATCGGAGTAAGCACTTCCTAAACATCTCTTTCTTGGCATCTTTGTTGCATAATTCCTTCATTGACTTATTGCCAGCTGAAATTACTTGACTTGATTGAGTTATTTCAACGGAATATGGGTTCACTAAATAATCCTTTGAACGTTTACTTACTGTTTGGGAAGCATTTTGGAAGTCAAATGAGGGTAGCTCTCAAGTGCAACCTTCTTCCAGAGATGCTTAAATCTCATCTCACCCTTATAAATTAGCATTATCTTGAGTGATTCACTCAGCCAATATAATTATATGTACAATTGTTTGGACCGTGATCATTTGCTTTTGCATAGTCTCGCTTTACTAGGAATAACGTTCAAGCAAACGAATAAAAATGGAGAGTATAAAAGAAAAGCAAGGCAGGATAACTGTGGGCGCCTCTATGTACCTAGGCGACTATAGACCATGGAATTTGCCACCTCTGGAGCGTTGCAGAGGAAAGCCCTATAAGCCACCAGATGCGCCATTCGAGGGTCTACCGACCTATCGCACCGACTACGTCCCCAAGTGCGAAGCTAGACGGTCCAATTTCAAGCCCAAATCGGAACTTGCCGTGCCGGATTCGCCTCTCAATACGGTGACGAATTACCGCTCGGACTACGTGCCACACCCACTGCAACCTCGTTCACCGAAGGAAAAGGAGCTTCCCTTCAAATCGCAAGTTCCTTTCAATGGCCTCACCACGTTCCAATCCGACTACACACCAAAGAAATTTTGTGAGCTTTCATCTTTAGCTTTTTTCAGTAATTCTTAGAAATCACCATTGTGCTTATTTGCGTCTTGGCTTATTTTTCATTGTGGTATCCACTTCCAAACGATAAAGCACCTACTCTTGATTGCATTGCGTTAATGATAGATAACTTGGAACTAGGTGCATTAAATTTATGTTTTCCTAAAGACAATAATTTCATTTATTTCCTGCTGAAAACAATTTCAATCTTGCACTATTTTTACTGTCAAAAATTTTCCTCGTACCTCCGTATCCCAAGAATTTGACCGAAGAGGGGGGTGTTTCAATTTCAACTTACAAAATACAACTTAGTCTTAATGTACTAAATGCCTTCTGCTGGCGTGAAGACATCTTAGCACCGTTAATTCTATCACATACTACCCTTCAAAGTATTTTAAAAGCTCAAATCTCAACTGCCTGCATGCAAGGCCACTTTGTGTGGGCAATTTTTTGTAAAGGGCAGTTTAGTTTGGGCTCACCAATAGTGGTGATATGTACTTGACGTATCATCTGATGGCATTCTCCTGAGGATTTCGTGTATGTTCAGGCCTTCAACAACCGTTCAAGCCATTGGAGAGCCTGCCCAGTAGCACGGATCCAATGAGCCAGAGTACAACTCATCGTGTGGACTATACACCCCATGCACTGTGTCCACCCTACAGACACCCACGTGAAGAATACAAGAAGCCCGAGGAACCCATGGAAAAGGGGACAACCTATCAAAACGATTATCCTGTTGTATGTTTCATTAAAAGAACTATTTACGGTGCCAACGAATCAATCCAATCTGGCTTTGTGCACTAGACTAAATCGGTTTAACGGAATTACTTCGATAAAAGTCATGAAATAGATTGTGAGCTGTAGTAAAAACGACTGCTAATGGTCGATTGGATTTTCAGCTGCCATTGTGCAAACCGGAACCAATGATGCTGCTCGAATGTCCGAAGTGCCCGGGGCCCTTTGATGGAACCACAGTCTATTGTACTGAATTCAAACACTGGAATGTGCGCAAACGAGTTGTCAAACCAGCACACCCCTACTGTCCGCCCGATGTGCCGATGGAAACGCTTTCTACGAATAAGGTGAAAGTTACATTATTCACATACTTTCGCTAGTATAAGTAGCTCAACTTGTTATGATCATGTCGACGATTCTCCGTAGGCGGACTTCGGGCCGAAGCTTGCGTGCAAAGTCGAATTGCTCAAGCCCGCAGCGGAACCCCTGCGTAGTGGCCCATTTGATGGCCAAACTAACTACAGGATTGAATACACACCCAAATCGGTGGAGTGTCACTGCCCTGCAGCTTACCTAAGCAGGAACAAAGTTAGCCCCGACGGATACACCTTTGAGGTAAGAAACTGCACGTGTCGGATGAGTTCGTAATTTCATCCAAGTTTAAATGAAATGACCTACGACAGCACCGCTTGTGGCGTAAACATGCTGAGGCGCACTTTGATAGGAACCAAAACCGAGGACATCTGGAAACGGTCAGCTGCTACTCTTACATCCCCACTCAATTGTGTATTTCAAAAAACTAGCCCATCACTTTCCCCGAAGATCGTTAATTTGTGTAATCTCGTCTAAAACAACCAAAGGCCTGGTGGTCGCAAGTAGTCGTATAACGGAGTAGAAGTAAATAGGCGAGACACTGAATACATTTCCTTGTGACAATCCTTACCATTTCACTTTTACAGGCTGTCGATCCCTGCGGTCATGAGCACTACAAACTGATGGAGAACCAAATCAAGGCCTAATGCTGCCCACCCCTAACGCCCAGCAGAAACCATAAGCAAAACAGATGCACAAATACATCCAAGGCCACATATCACCTCTGCTGGCCTTCACCGATTAGCTGAATTGATAAGTAGAACGTGCATTCCCATGACATAATGATACGCCCTAGCAAAATTCCTTCTTGCTTCCACACAGTGACGATATTTCATCGCAGTGTGTAAACCTAAGAGGTACAAAATGCACCTCAGAATAAGAAACGGTAAATGCATTTTTTCCCGTAGGTCAAGAGAACCTCAGTATATTTTAAATCTCAGTGGCGTTAACAGCATACCGTCTGCTGGCTAAGGTAACGGTACGCCACTATGAAATAGAATTCTGCCGCAACTGTCAAACAACTAATGCAAAGTTTAATTGGCTATCAAAAACCATGAACAATGATCGCTAGATTCCCAATAGTAGGTACGAAGAGAAATGTCTGCTTCCTATTCCGCTAATTCACTGATTCATGATGCTTTTTAAAATGTAGTTACCAAAACATGGGATAGTGCAAAACATCAGAACACGTTTATAGGTTGCACGAAGGGGGCAATCCTAGAGCTCCGACGGATCTCCAACAATGGCAGAAGAGTTTTCTGATGCCCTCAGCCGCTCGCCTAAATATGGAGATACAGATCTTACTTTTCTGTATGTAATTTGCAAATATGAGTGAATAATTGTGTTCCCATCATTGGAGATCCCTCAAGTATACCCGGAAAAAACGAAATACCCTCGAGTGGTATAGTGAACTTGTTTTCCGTAACAGGACATTCGCTCCCCTTTTGCACCTTGAATGTGGGGCCACAAAAAATCCATGTAATCTAGACCCCTTGAGAGGGTAAGCTTACAAAACACAACAAGCCTTACGTATTTATTACTTGCCTTCGTATTACCAAAACAGCATAACTGGTGAAATGCTTTCTAATAATACTGTTAACGGTGAATGGGGAAAACTCTGAAGTTTAATAATGACCATAACCACAATCAATAGAGCCGAGATATACACAGCGAGTAATCATCTCGCAAAATCCAAATCGCTTCGTCATAACCTGGCCCCACTTTGTTAAAAAAGTAACCAAACGGACCAGATACAGGACTTCAGCGATACAATTTGTTGCTGGTGCAGGACAGCTGCATGACAAATTCAGTGAAGTTTTTAACAGCGGTGTACATGACTGTGTCCCATGTCTCCTCACCATGACTACGTGTGTACACTGACTTGTTTACATCTCTGTTGAAGGACATTTGATAGTGATGCGTTGGTATGCAGAGGGAACTGGACGTCGTCAACGACGCTGCCTACTTGGATGGCGTACGGACGGGCAAGCGGGTTGGCTGGATGTGATGTGCAGTAGGGAGTGGGACGAAGTGAAAGAGGCCGCATCTGTGCAGACACACACACACACACACGCACTTATAGGCAAGACGTGACACTTTCTGGGCTGACGTCAGCGAAAGGTAACTTATGTAGGAAATAGCAATCACCCAACAAAGTGACAATTCCTAGCCATCGCGACCAGAGGACGCGGTGTGAGTGCGTATTCACTATCAAATTCCCCACAAAAAACAGCCAATTTAGTGATTAACGGGAATATGTACCAGACATCCATCTCGATTCATGGTCTTCATTAATGAAATCCAATCTACAAGATAAAGTTTTGTTGAAAAGTCGGAACCCAAATGGTAGTGATATAGGCCAAGCACTGAAACACTTTCAGGACCCAAAATCTACTAGACACGCTAGTGTTTGAGGGTGGATCAACGAATGATGAATGTGATGTGGATGCAAAGTGGAGACCCAAAGGTACAGCAATACATTTAGAATCAATTAGCTATGAACAATCCGCAGCATTTAACCCACCACTTCGAGTGTCACTAAAAAGTATTGCCTATGAAATAAAAAGTTCTGCAAAAGCACACATTAGGTATCCTTTTACTTGTGAGATGTTATGGCTCAGAGCAATAATTTGGTTTCAATGGCTTGAACACAACGCGAGTAGAGCACGGAATCGATTGGCAAAACGATCCAGGTGGGGAACTGTATTCATTGTATTGGTTGTGCGTAGTTGGGTGGAGAAGCTAATCTTACAGGACAACGGAGGTAAGAGTAATAACAGTGGCGCAGCAAGTCCCTTATAATCATTTAAGGAAATGAACGTCAAGTACTGCCACCAATTTACCGTCGAAAAAAGAGAGAGGCAAGCGTAATACGATGTGGGCGGCTAGAAGCGAGCTCAAATTACTATTGAAGGTAGTTCCAACGTGTAGTACTTGATACAACTGTCTAATCTGTCCTTAAATGCACACTATAGATTGCACACCGGTGCATCCAGCACTGGTAATCAGGACGTCAGAGGTCTTACGACCTAGGTCAAGGGATATATTTTGAGGTCTCTCGCAAATGTATTACTTTCCAGAGGCAATAACACACGAATGTACACACATCCACGCAATAAATCCGTCCGTAAGTTTTCCAGCAACATTAAATTAGTAAAGGCAAGTGAGGTGGGAACATTACTAAATAGATTGAGTTTACGCCTTAAAAGATCAAAAATTTTCACAGCACTTACGAATTAGTTCGGCAATTACTCGCTGTGTCCTTCGTTCAAGCTTCTTCAGCTTCTTCTCCACGCCACGTTTTAAGTCCCAATCGGGTTTTCGAGGGGCCAAATTGAACAAATTCTACCAGGAAAACGAAGAAGTAGGTTGTTTTGCTATCATCCCATTAATCTGCAGAAAATGGTTATTTGGTGGGATTTCATACTTTTGGTTCCATATTTCATTCGTAAAGTGATAAATACTAAGAATAGAAAAAGCCAGCGGCAGCAATTTCAAAGAAATTCATCCTATGCCACCAAAAATAAATGGAAAGATTAGGGTGCAAAAAAAGTGAAGACAATTGAGCAATCAATTGAGGTCGCCCATGAAGACATTTGATTCAATAGCCATTTACACATAGGAAGAATCGGGTGATTCAGTCTGGCGCAAAAATATGGGGCTAAGTTGGTAGATGAGATCGAATCGGAATGCCACCCAAGAACAGATATGGTTGCACCTCACAATCGCATTTGAAAGGCATGACAGTGTAAGACACGGATGCAGCTGATCAGGAGCAGCCTGCCTTGGTCGAAGAATTGATCATAATTCTTTGCTCACAAAACAAAAAAAAATGACGATTGCTGTGGGGATAGTGACAATTTTTTAGAAGAAGGGAGCGAAAGCGAGATTGAAATAAGAATAGCTTTTGGAGTACGCCAAACATCTGCCTGCGTTTGGGTGCGACAGGGGCACACTACCTCATAGGCGCTTAAAAATCGACGAGCAAAGTTTTGCATGCACGTAAAATTTAATGGGGGGAGATTGGTATCTACCCAAAGCGGGGTTCTGCCATAAAAAAGGAAAATTAAGGCTTCTTCCCTTACAAATATTGACAGGTGAAAAATGGAAGATGCATCAAGTTCGGTTTATTGAAAGGACGCAAATCAAGACTGGGGTTTCTACGACGCCAAATGCAAAAGAGATAAATAATGACTAAAATAAAAAAATGATACATATGTACACCCAACATACCACTTCATCGACAACGGATTGCGCCTTTGCCGCCTCCAGCTGTTCCGCGACGTATGCGTCAACTAAAATATGTACAAGTGTCAGCCGCTGGAGAGCAAAAGCACCTGACCCTCGAATGGAAAACAACATTGACATGATCTGACAGTTCTGTAATTAGGGCATTTTGACAATGAATGAAAGGTATATTCGAGATTTGACAGGCGATCAAGTGGTCAAGTACCATAGAATGTCCATTTCAGAATTGAAACACGCATCGCCCACCAGGCCCCGGAAGTCGTATTGTCCCCATGATTAATGTCGTGAGCCAAAAATTCGGTTTTTCGATGAGATACTACTGGTGTTGCCTATTAACAACACCTCAAAAAGTGCCATCCATGCCACTAATTATGCCGACATATTGAGTGCATAAGATGACAGGAGAAAGGGGAGCTATGAAATTTACGTATTCTTAGGTTCAATGCAGAATGAAAACGCGAAAAGTGGAGATAGATGCACGAAGGCATAACGCTCAGCTCAGAGATCTTCGCTTGATTTGATTAGGTCAAACAAATGGCAAAGCTGTTAGGTTTAGAAAGTTGTTTACACGATTTCAAGGTTATACAGAATTAACTGCGTCACGGACAGTATGAATCAATGGCAGTGTAGGTCTTCCCAAAACACGACTACTTTTAGGTGTCATTTCATTCGAGTGACACAAGACAAAGCATAATAATTTGTGGAAATTCAAAACGTAAAAGAGATGATTCTCCTTATGTTTTAGCGAAAATGAGCCACTCGAACACCACTTTTACTGGTGATTGAATTTTTATAAACTGTATCGCCGTTTTGGCGGTGCGTACTGGTTTATGCATGAAAATTCCGAAAACAAGGTAGAATGAACAATTACTTTCACCCATACTTCAGTAGCTCGTGGTAAACAGAACGCACACGAACTGACTAACTCAACTGAAGTTGTCAGGAAAAGGGATGTCGAAGATATCCTACAAAGCATGAAAAATAGGTAGGAGAAACATCGCTTTAAGAAGGTTTGACATTCCTAACCTTCAGGAACGAAATTGCATTAAACGAAGAAAACGTAAGTCAAACATTGCCTTAGGCAGTACGATGCAATTAATTGTAAACAAATGTAGCACCGAGGTACTCCTTTCCGCAATAAATTTTGACCACTGATCAACCGTAGGGAGGTGTAAACAGTTGGAAACTATGTGAATCCGAACACAGACACCCAATCCATTCAAAGTCCATGACAGGATTTCGGTTAGCACCGCTGGGGAACGAATTATGCACATAAACGAAGCGCCAGCAAGAACCCTCGGATCTAATTGAGTTTGATTGCAATAACTTTGGGTGAAATAAGTCGTTTGAGGCTTCCCAACAGCAATATTTACCCATGCCGATTGATCTCCAAATAAACCAGCAAATTTAGTGCTATGCCAAAAATTAGCGACGTGAGATGGAGAACCTTACCTAAGCTATCATGCTTTGACACACATCCAAACCCAAAATTGAGTTATTCTGTTAATGAGTTGATCTTAGAGCACTCCAGAAGAGGATAAAAGTTTTAGCCGTTAAAATATGAGCATTAGAGCACGTAAAATCAACAGTGCAGTTAACCATTCACAGCCGCAGTTAAACCGCAGTTCAACTGGAAAGGTGAGAAATTGGAGCATCAACACGCTTGCAATCAGAAATATGTCGAAACCTTAATCGTGCCGTGATGGGATGGAAGAAAATTATGCGATAAAAGGGGGGAGGAAGACACTTTTGGCGAAAAGTTAAAGGGCGTCTTTGAAATAGAATTTGGCTTCTATTGTTTCAAAATTTTTATTTTAATAAAGAACAAAAGTTAACTCTAAATGTCCAAATTTATATGTGCGATTTCAACAACCTACGTGGATTTATTTTATTCACAAATGGTGTTTAAAAGATGGTGAAACTTACGATCAATCATTGCGCCCTCGGGTAGCTGACCGGGTTTCAGCTCCTCAGAAATGGGCTTGTAGTTACGAAATATGGGCTTGGGTAGTTCTCCCTCCGCATTGAGCGTTAGACCGGTGCCGGATAGGTCCACTTTTTGTGCCTGCTTGCGTAGATTAATGAGACGTTCCTTACGCCGCAGAGCCTCGCTACGCAGGGAGCCCACGGTGACTTCACGCTCTTCCAGCCTTGCCCCCATCCTCTCTCCGTCTTCTTTCGTATCCTCCACTGTAGTCGTGTTTTCGCTCTGTAATAAACAAAAACCATCATTGGTAATGGAGCAGGTATCGGTGTCACAAGCGTGCAAAATGAAGCAGGTCATGAATTTCATAGAAAAATTTATTTTAAGACGGGGGGTAATTGCATAAGCTTTGTGTTACATTACGGGAAGATCACAAAACGACCTCATCAGAGTAAATTTCTAGGGTGAACCTGGAAAACAAGTAATCAAGAAAGGCAGAAACTCGTTTAACAGCGAAATAAAGGTGGATCGTGGTAGCAATCTTTCAAGTGACATGGGGATGCACAAGCACAAATAAGCATGAATTCAACCCCTTACGATAGGGTTTTTCCGTGCTGCCACTTGATACTGCTTGAATGAATGATAACCAGTAGCGCCCTCAAATCAGTGTAAGTGAAATGAGACCGAAATTCCATCTCCTTTGAGTAGGCATGTTAGCTTTGAAAAATGGCATACTCAGCAAAGGAGATCTACCACTGCTGACGGTTCTAAGCGGATGCAACATTTAGGCACTGAAGTCCCCATAGTAAAATGAAACGATCTAATTACACTTCAAACTAGAATTAACGTCTATTTTATTGCAAACTATGAAAATTCAGGTTAGGGATAACGAGATTCTGACAAAACAGGCGGTATGAAATGAGCATGCTCAATTAAACAATGTACATGCGGATTTAATTGGAAAGAAATGAACTCACAGCAACCAACAACAAATGCATTCCACCATATGTGAAGGTTGTCTTACGAACGAATAAGTAACTGTGACGTCTCTGTGTCCACATTTATGAGAAAGCTCACGGCTACATTCAGTCTACTGCTCAAACAATCGAATTTCATGTAATGTTGAATGCTTTAGACACTGCTGAGATATACGGACCAGGGAGAGCTTGGGAACACCCTGTGAATAAGCGCTTGAAACTCAACAGTAGTTAGGGTGAAAGCCAAGGCTGAACACGCATGCCATGGCAAGGGCGCAAGCGCACCTCGCATATCGGCGAACGCAACTTAGTGCCACGAGGCGCCCAAAACAGTGAGATTTAAACGCGTAAGCACACGCCGAGGAAGGAGAGAACAAATAAAATATTGATAGTAGATTAGGGAAAAGTCGTCACCACAGAGGAGTTCTGACTTCTAACTCCAAAACCTTCACTGAAGGTAGGTGAGAACGACGCAGACAATGTGCCACAAAATACTTTCTCCGAAGACAGGAAAGTGAAAACTGAACCGTTCCGTTTAGTGCTTTTTACTTTCCAAACAAAATTCGCAGAATTGAAGGAAAATGTTGCAATAAACTGTCAAGCATTCAAGATGACTTGATGCATGCCGGAAAATGGTGAAGCGCTTACGTAAAGAACTCGACCTGCCACGAGCGACCACATACCCGCAAGATGACGACAAGGGAGAAAAACCGCGAGCTATTGCAAAAGGTACTTTTAACGCTGAGTCGTGCAGTCGAATTTCACCAACAAATAATGGGATAACCCAGCACCGTCGTAACAAATACACACAGTACGAGAAACAGTTGCGCAGACCCAGGGAGACATCAGTAAATAGAAAATTAAGGTAGCTGTGAGAGTAGTATCGCTTCAAATGACAGTTTAGGCCAGAGCTGGTGAAGCAGTAGAGGCCATATGCTATCCACGCGATAAATAAAAAATCTAGATATCAAATTAATTATTTTAAGAGAGCACACATGCATTTGTAGGCGGATAAAGTCTCCCATTCAGATGAAGCATCACTCAGTGAAAAGAACCACCTTTGGGGTCAAGATTTTAAGGCCATAGGAGCGCTTTAGGCCATCAAAACCATCCAAATCTTTAATTACAACTTTTTCAACTCAATGCAACGTCCATACACAAGAATTAAATAACGATTAGAGAGCATAAGTACAGCTATTGAAACAAGCACTGGCATCAGTGACCGATATAAGGAAGGATGTGATGCAACTGCCACATGCCAACGAAAAGGCTAAAATATGAAACCGCACGGATGGATCAACTAGAGAGACACGAACCAAAGATGCAGCACCCAGAAAACCAATATTTAGGGCAGGCCTCCATCCACCCCCCAAATTACCCCTCGCCTGATCGCGCAAAATCAGCGCAGCCAACTTACAAGCTTCCTAGCTGATCATGCCTATGGAGCATAGCTATAAAGCACTTTTCACACTTCAGCAAACATCGCAGCCAAAAATTGCATACTTTGTCGTCGCCACTGTACAGAAGGGTACCCAAAAAAACCTCCACTTTTTTTACTTTTATGCTAGGTTGGAGTTAAAAGGTTTTATTTAACAAAGCAACAAAACGTGCATCTCAAAAGGGGCAAGCGTCTAGAAATACTGCGAGACTAACCTTGGTAAGACGAGGGAAAAATCACATCATATCAACCCTCACAGACACACAATTAGTAAAAATGAACCTAGCTTATTTCTCCTGCAACTCGCATGTATTAACGGCGACCACCAAGTGTGGGTTTGTTCAATGATAATGGGTGGTAAAGTGGTGATCTCATGTCCCTGGGGAAGGGGCTGTACAAAAGGAGGGAGAAGATGGAACGAACTGCAAGGAGAAACGCAGTTTTAAATGCACAGAGATGCGCACAGCCGGTGTAGCTACCGCTGCTACACCTCGGCCGGGGTGGCAGGACCAACAGTGGCGGCGGCACTAGGGTCGGGATAAGAAGTGGATGAGGGGGCGAGGAGGGGCACAGCATCGGGATTTGGTTCGGAAGCAACGGGAGTTACTTCGATGACCTCCAGTGACGAGGATGCGGAGGTATTGATCGATGACGTTGGGGCAAGGAAAGGCATCAGACTAGCGGGATCGTCGCGCAAAGGAGGATACCTTTGACTGAGATTCTGAATTCTCCCTGCGATGCAACCGGCCGTGATACGTGCTTCGGCGTCGTGGTCCCAACTGTCCTGTACAGTCTCCCACAGCTGCATGAAAGCCTGTATGTAATAGAGAATAGTAATTAGTCTGTTCTAATTAAATAAATGAGCAGTGACAAAGGCAAGAAAACTATATTTTGCTCGATTTGGACGTGAGCATACCTGGTGTCAAGCTATGTTGTTAGTGGTCTATGCTGATGTCGAACTTAGTTTAACCAACGACTGAACAGGGGATTTGTGTGGAAATGGTTAGTTTGCAGGGGACGGTCTAAAATAAACAATATCGAAAAATCCACAAATTCCAGCATTACTAGGAGACATAGGTTTTGCGCGAGCCTAAAGAATAAAGAAGTCTACAATAGGGGAACTCGTGGAAGAAATAGCGAAAAATGGAACGAAAAGTGAACGGCCGGCGCAGACATAGACACGCACATGAAAACACCGACCTAGACAAAGCCATCTGCAGTGTTGGCACGAGTTCTTTGGCCCAACAACTGGGCTCTCATGCATACACACAAACGCGATTCACATATGCGGGAGTGTGTTACCGCCTTCAGCATATGCGCCGGCAACACAGGCAGTGAGATACCACAACCCCTTTTGTACACGTGCGTGATGCGACGCGGCGTGCAGACAGTACGCACTAGACTCTCAATTGAGGACAACTGTCCGTTTGTCAAAGGGTATCCCAGAGACGACAAATTTACAACGCATCGGTTATGCTGCCAACATACGCACATAGATTCGTGCGAGTGGCTGGGATAAAAAACTTACCGAATGTGACATGACCGGGCTCTTAAGTGTATATGTAATGAAAAAGTTGAACATAGTGCAAACCAGAAAAAAAACAATGCAACCAATTGCCGTAATGGATAAACATTGATGACATTACAAATGGGGATGACTAGACTTCCAACGTGCTAGGCTAAAAACAATGATGTCATTGATTCTGTGTTTCAAACACAGAAGCACAAGAACCAACAGGTTGTCTAGTTCGCTTTCAGGAATTAAATTTTCCAAATTAAATTCAGGCACAACACAAATTGAATTATCAGTGAATCAACAGACAAAACTGTCCACAGCCGAGAACAGCCAAACGCGACTTTGACTAGGCACCATTTCACACCATTCAAACATTGCGCTTAGGTGAGCACTAAAACCCATGGCAAAACTCCGAGACATCGGTGAACGCAAGGGCGTCGCGCATCTCAAGAAAAACCAAAACACATGCCGAGCACAAGTAGAGAATTTGAACCACAAAAGGGATAGGCGGTTTTGAGGTTGAACCACCCAAAGGCCAGAAGAAGGAGTTGGGTGTGCTTCGCGCGAATACTAACGATTAGAGTATGGCGGAGTTTTTTGTCGGTGGCACTCACTCACCTGATCATTTTCCCACCACGAGCAGGCCCGAGGGCGATTCTTGAGTTTTGCAACATAGTGTTGCAGTTTGTCCATGGTGGGGATTGGTCCCACCTCGGCCTCAAAGGGAGCCATGTAGGGCGGTAGGCGCGGAGGAGCGTTCTCGTCAGGCGGAGTGTCACCAGGCCCATGAGCTCGTGTCATCAACTCCCAAATCACCAAACCCAGTGCGTAAACGTCAATTCGAAGAAAGGCGTCTCTTGTGAACTGTATCGCCCCGTCCAACACCTCTGGAGCCATGTAGCGCGCCGTACCAACCTTTGGATAAACAAAATAGAACAATTGTCAGCTGAGACGATGCTTCAGTAGCTTAAAACCTCTGCTAACGCTGAAATATTCTATGATCAACTCAGCTACATGTACGATAAGTGTTCACTCCTAAGTTTTAAGCCGTGATGTGTGAATGGCAAATATGATATAGTTATCGCATTTCTAGTGAGTAAGTTTGGCGTACCTCTCAGATCCTGTGAACCTTTCTTTGCAGGCAAATATTGTTTTTTTTTCACAGAAAACGACAATGTAGAACACGTGATCATATAGTGCAAGTCAGAGGCTTTGAAATAACCAGATTACTAGGTAAGCAGTGCCAACAGAGAAACACAAAGCAGAAGACTAAGCATAATGCAACAAAGCAGTGACTACTTGTACAGAGAGGACTTCATATTACTGACGAGTGAGTGATCACGTCAGTAGATATGAATTGTGAGACTTGAAGTACTTAAAATAAAGTAAAATCGATTCCAGGCTTCACACCTTTGGCTATTCCTGTGTGTTTGACTTAAATAATGGCAAGAAAATCAAACCCTTATGAGTTTACTGTTAGAAAGCAAGTTGGACTTGGGGAATTTCTAAAATTTGACGCCATAGTGGTACCATCCAATAAAAGCAGGGACCCGTGGGAATACATAGCAAAATCTTCTTTGATATCTAGTCGCAAATACAGCTAAGAAAAGGAGAAATCACGGCAGAGACAAGATAACTGACCATAATTAGTTGGGAATTCAAAAAGTTGCCTTAAAGCAAATTGCTTTCATACTATTTTCGCACTTTTGTTACGGAACTCTAAACGAAGCGGTATAAATAGCAATGATTTGCAGACGATGTAACCATGGCTTTCAGCAATGTAGTAGTTTTATCACGAGACCAGTTCATTTAACATCATTTTGGCAGAACAAAACACCTGACGAAGGGGAGCATTCCACTACCGAGTGCACTGAAAGCAGGATCGGTTACACCAATTGGAGTGGTCTGGTCGCTGTCCTGGTTGTTATGCGCAAAAGTGATATCGTTCACGCTCCAACACAGGACAGCGATGGCCTTGAACCCGGTAGCGGTAACATATAAATCAATCAGCAAGCCCATACGCGCGTGCTGGGTAAGAGCTGACCCCTCCGCGTGTGCAAGTGCAAACACGCCCCAGCGCGTGTGCTGAACATGATGTGGGTAAATTAGGTGAGGAAACAAAGCCCGCGTGGATGGCCCTAATCACCAAAGCCTCTGCATGACGCAAACAACCGCGGAGACGAGGTAGGAGATATGGGAAACCTAACTAAAGTTGTAAGCTCAAACTAAGGCCGGCTACAAGTTATGGATTTGATTGAGGTAGGTAAGAAGAAGTGGTGAGTCAAATTTCCGATCATCTTAACTTCAGTAGGAATAAAAGACCAATTCCAAACCATGAAAAAAAAAACTTGCTGAAAGAGAATGCATGATGGAAAGTGGAAATATTGACCAAATGCCCCATGAAGGAGTGCTATAAATACAGATTACTGGACTCGAGACAGACCGGCTGTTACTAACGAGACAAACATGAATAAAAGAGGCACTTGGCAAGGAAACTAGGCTATGATGGCAAGGCATAGACTCAAAAGTATGCGCCAGTCAGGCAGAGAGAGGGTGGAGGCAGCCCACGCACAACACCACAACGTTGGAGCCAAAGACTGAGAGTACTAGGAAATTTGGCGCAAATACTGAGACCATTTGACAGCCAAACGCATATATTCGATTCAAACTATACTTACAAGGTAGGTGGAATACTTTCTCAATATCTCTCACACAGATTAGGTAGTCTGGCTAAAATTACATTAGTTGTTTGTTGATGTCACGATTTGGGAAACTAGGCTTTGTTACGTGAACGATACCTGAAAATGACATCATAGGAATCAGATGACGAAAATAAGGAAATTAATAAATAACATGAACTAAATAAGAACCCACTTTTTTGAGTGAATACCTGTTCGTTTCCGTAAACACAATAAATTGTGTAATGCTGCTATAAGAGTCAGGAAAGTTAGTATGCCACTTTTGGCCACAATTAAGTAATCAGAGCGTAACTACAAAGTGATTACCTGTAGGTGGGCGTCGCCAAAGCCACGGCCAGTTTCAAGTCGAGTAGCCAGCCCTAGATCGCTGATGCACGGAGTGAGGTCGGGTTTGAGAAGGACGTTGCGAGATTTAAAGTCCCTGTGTGCTATGCTCGGTTTGGGGTACTGAGAGACGGTGCGAGGAAGTTCTGTGTGCAAGTAACTGAGTCCACGAGCCATTCCCATAGCTATCCACAGCATCTGACCCCAGGAAAGCTCCCTGCTGTGGATATAATCAAACACAGAGCCGAAGGCGAGATAGTCCGTCACAAGCCAGTATTCAGCTACTGTACCACCTTCGCCAACACCGCTGTTTTGATCATTTTCTCCTTCCTCCGACGAAACCCTGGTAACCTAGATAGGGGCAAGGGACAGTGACATGAATTATATTGACGGCATCCAGACGTAGCACAGAAAGGAGTCCCATGATTATACAATCGTTTCGGACTGGAACTATTTCACTTAGATGAACAGTTTTATCCAGGGCGATTTTTATACGTCCCAGTCAAAGGCATACCACGTAAATGCCAGAATAAAGGTAATTCTAGAGAATGACTTTGATTTACTTCATCAAGCCTTAAAATTCTCAGAAACCACAAAAGTAGCGGTAAATGTTTTAAAGCTTAACCTCGGAATGAGAAACAACCAATATCAGGTGGCCACAAAATGACGCCCATCAGTACACTGTGGCATTCGTTGCAGGAGAAAAGTCATATTGATAAAAAATATGCTTCAGATTGTTTCCCCCGAAACCGAGTTACAACATCGCGAAGAATATTCGACTTCGAATCCCGATAATAAAAAATTCCGCTGTAGAGCTTCCACTGAAAGCACGTCAAAAGTAACACCTTGACGAATCACTGAAAAGTGGGTATTCAAAAACTGCGCTTTTGTGGATACAATTGTGAATATTACGTGAAATAATAACTTATAATATTTAGATTTAAATACTTAAGGACAATTACGGTGTCGAGAGCAATAAGTCTAAGACTGGCCAGAGGAGACACAAGTATGTTGATGGTAATGGGGTGCTGAAAAGTGAAATAAAGGGAATTATCGTGGTAATAAACCACAGAATCGAAGCCACTAATTTCAACCTTAATCCCGATTGGCTAATAAAACTGCATTACACTAAAACCTGGGATGCAATCAGCATCTGCTCCCTGTCAGGATCGCAAACGAATGCGGATAGGCACGCAAACAAGTTGATGTCAGTGGAGAGCGTGTAAACGAACGCGCTCCGCCTCTCTATCTCCATTGCATCAGAGGATCACTGGTTTACAATCATGGTTACCACCACTAGCGCCATACTGTTTATCATCACGGATGTGCACGCACACGCATAATGGGGAAATGCAACCATGAGAGCGTCCTACAGAAAGGGTTCACCTTAAAACACTTGCAAGGAAAGCGATTTATACTTTTAAGCCTTGCGATTCTAGCAGCTACGAGTATCTAAAAGTAGTTGTGAAGCAAAGGCGGTGCCCTCATAAATTCGTGATTAAAAACACCACTAAGTCAGAGTAACGTTCACAACAGGAAAATTCCACCACAAAAATAAGCAGGGATCACAGATCGAATTGACGACAAATTAGGACTACAGAAAATCAGTGTTCTGATTTAGGCTTACAATGGCTGAGTTAAATTCACTTTCGCCTATGAATAGTACATAGTGATAGACTTGTGTTGTAAAATGTCCCGTGTAGTGCTCTAAGAAAAAAGGTCGATAATGGCAAAGTGGAGCCAGAAATAGGAAAAAGTTTGGCAAACATAAAGCCAACGAGGGTATCATTGGCCAAACAGTCAATGATTGTAATCGTAAATAAAAATACCAAGTGAATTTGTGACAGGTGAATAAGAGGCAGTAATGGGAAATGTGGCAAAAGCTAACAACGTAAACAAGTGCTTAAAAAGTAACCAAATATACAGAATTACGCACTTTGTCGATACCAATGTAATGTAGAATGTTGGGGTGTTTCAAACGCGGAAGCCGGTATAATTCCAATTCGGTTTCCCAGCTTTTTTTTTCCGCCTCAGGAAATACCTTGATGGCTACTTCACGAGAGGTAGGCAGACCGGATACGACTTCAGTCATTCGACCCAGCCATACTTCACCAAAACGACCACGAGAACATCTTTTCACCTTTGTGCATATCCTCGAAAGCTAAAATAATAAAATGGTATAAAACTAACGATAAAGAGGCAGGCAATAATAATAAGCTTGAAATAAGATGTACGACCACGGAAATAAGAATAGAATGGAAAAGCTAAAACAGTTGCGTATGTCGGTAAAAAAAAACCACATAATTGTAGAAGAAATAATGCATGCCATTTTACCATCAATAACATAAAGTGTTGAACAAATGAGTAAATGATTACTTAGAGAAGTACCTCTTCAATTTCACCCTCTGCGAGCCAACCGCCTCCAAGGACTGGACGAACCAACTGTGGCATGGATGAGGAGCCATCTACCTGGGTTAGAAAGCCTTTGCCACAAAAAACACAAGGGGCTCCGTTCAACGGGCATGAACGGCACACAATATTCCCAGAAGCACAAAATTGGTGTTCGTCGTCTTTAGACCTGCTCGTCGAAAAACAGAACTTCAAGGATGTGGGAAAGGGATTTCGACAAAATAAGGATTTGTGCTTGTCAGTACTAAACTTGGAGCTGCCTCCAATGGCGGAACTTCCAAGCGGATGAGCAGAAGTCTTACATCGACGACACAAAAGGAAAATGAAGATGAAAATCAAGAGAACCAAAAGAAGAAGAGGCAATGCGACCGCGTAGAAGAGGGTTGGATTACTGGAGAACGATGCCAAGACACCTATCTTAGTGGTAGAGATGTGGTTTCCTAGAGAACGGTTGAATGGACCGGAGTGGGTAGGGTCACCTGTAAGGAAATTGACGAGAAACAACACAATAACGAGGGAAATCTTCATTACCAGAGCAGAAATAATGTAAATGCCAAATCCCTATATCCTAAATTTGCACATCGAAAACAATATCCGTGAAGTATGCACACCTTGATCAATTACGATTTGCTTTATAGGGATGTGAGGTACATTGCACGAATCACCCTTGCAACAACAAGTAACGTATCCCTTCTTGTTGGAAACAACATAACATACGTTTGACTCAAAAACAAAATCGTTATTCTAAAAATAACAGAATTAAACTGTTCTTACGCTGCGCCAGTACCAGCAGCCTTGCAAATGTGTCCGATTAGAATGATCATCAAGTTGTTTTAGACTCAGAAGACAATGCTGTTGGCCAGATTTGCATAAAATCTTCCTTGTAATCGGGTTGCAGCCAGGCTGATCTGGCGTACAATAACAGCTTATTTGTTCCATTTTATTGATGTACACATGCAGCAGGACAGAGCCAGAAACAATCACAATCCAACGTAAATCGGCGGAACTCAGTATGTTTTCTAGTAGAAACCAATAAAATTTCGACCTTAGTAATGGCGTAAAATTTTCAGAATAAAAAATAGGTGCACATTTAGGAGAATTCTAAAGTGCAGCTTACAGCTGGAGAAAAGAAAGTTATTCGCGCACAATTGCTAAAGCCACGTGCACATGTGACAAACGCCCAATCTAGT